AGAGTGCATGGCAGGAAAACTAAATTGCAGAAAGAAAGCGTTATGCTGCCGTGAAAGTATGAAAATGTAGAAAATGAAATAGAAGCTGAAGCATAAAACTCAACTTAAAAGAAGCTAGAAAGATGAATTTGGGGTAAAGTGCAGTAAATTGAATTGCAAAAGAAACTAAATATATCGAGTGAAGATGTTCACAACGAAATAACAAAAATCAGAATTAAAACTAATGGCAGCGTAGAGCTAAAGACTAAATTAGGAAAGCTGTTTGAGGAAACTGGATCTAAACTAAGACATTGCTTGTAAAACTAAAATGTTGATAGCGCTAGGCTAGTTGTGTGAGAGGCTGGTCTTCTTTGCTTCGTTTCTTCTTTGCATCTTTATAGCAGTAAACACCCTTGACAGCATGCTTGGAAATCTGTGGCAGCAACTTGACAATCAACGGCAGCATGAAATCTGAAACAAACTAATTATTCTGTTGATTCTGCCAATTATTCTCTTAGAAGTTCGCAACAAACCGACAACCTTGCTGCAGTTGTGGAAATAACCACTCAACCTTATCTAGAGAGATTTACTCCAACAACTTTCAACTAATGAAATATTTGCCAACATGGATGACACGTGGCATCATTATACTATTTTGCAAAAATGGGTGTAAACACTTTGATAAAGGAATCAAATCAAATTAGCAAATCATTTGCAATTTTTACTAGCAAGTTTACTCTTTCATCAAAGTCTTGAATAAAACAAAGCTTCAAAATTGTCACTCTCACCAATCATACGAGAAAGAAATTAAAAAGATTTGGACTAATCAGTAAGAACCTTTGTTCTATATCTTGGGGACAAAAATTTAACTTTTAGAGTTCTTTAGTCATGTATTTATATAGTTTGTCTTTGATCGTACCGAAAAAATGACGTTACTTTTGTGTAGAAATCAATTCATATTCCATGGTACATGTTGATCACAAAAGGCCATAAAAAGAAAACTACCTAACCTTCGCTTGCAATTCGTGCTCTAACAAAAATTCCAGTTTGGGCCGTGAGTTGTAATGAGCATTCGGCCGAAGTGTTAAAAGCCCAAACCTTAAACAGATATGTGGGCTAAAGAAAGACTAAAGAATATGTATTTAAGTTAGACCCAAAAGCTGTTCGGGCCCACAACCGATAGTGGAGTCCTTTTTGTTCTACTTTCCGGACAGGTAGGTGTGATCCAGCGATTGAATAGGGCCCATGATGAAAACGCCGAAAAATTTTGCCACGAGCCTCTGACCATGTAATGCGGTTAAATCAGTCCCCTATATTTTAAAGATGCCTCAAACAGTTAATAATTTAAAATTTTAAGTTAAAAGTATTAATTTTAACTAGAAAAGATATAAATAGGAATATTAATTTTATTAATTTTTAAATAAAAATATTAACTTTTTATTTTTTATTTAGAGATGTTAATTTTTTATTTTTCATTTTAAAATGTTAACTTTCAACATTTTAGAGAATGTTTGTTTAAGATGTTGG